CTTCCTGGGAGGCCTGATTATTCTCTGAAAAGCAACCAGTATGCAAACTGTCCACAGTAATTCTGCCATCCAGATGGTGTGTCCCGCCCAGTGCCAAGGCCATTCTTCCTTCATCCTCATTGGCAAAGTCCCCAGCTCCAGGCCTGAGACTCAGGTTCAAACCCTGGGTTGGGAAGATCCCCTGGAGAAGGATATGGCAAACCACTCCAGTATACCTGCCTGGAAAATCCCATGGACAAAGGAGCATGGCGGGCTACAGTCCATGGGATCAAAAGAGTCGGACACAACTTAGCGACTAAACCACCACCAGCTCCAGGAAGAAATCCTCGTTAGTCTGAATCTACCATTGAGGTACTCCTTGGCCAAAATTGGTTTAGAGTTGTGACTTAAGGCAGTTCTGGTCAAAGAGGTGTGATAAATTTTCTGCAGCATTAGGCACAGGTGTCATTACCAACATAAAGGGACACGGTAGAAGAGATAACCCCTTCTTCCTTTGGAAACTTTGGTGTGTGCATATCATGCTTGAAATGACAGCAGCTGTCCTATGGCCATGATTTCACCAAGCATGAAGCTAATACCATGGGGGACTTCCCTGATAGTCCAGTGGCTAAAATTCAAGGGACCCAGATTTGATCCCTGGACAGGGAGACCTGGGTTTGATCCCTGGGTTGGGAAAATGCCCTGGAGAAGGGAAATGCTACCCACTCCAGTATTCTGGCCTGGAGAATTCCGTGGACTGTATAGTCCATGGGATCACAAAGAGTCAGACACAACTGAGCGACTTTCACTTTTTCACTTTCAGGGAACTAGATCCCACATGCTGCAACTAAGGATCCCGTGTGCCAAAACTAAGACCTGGTGCCAGCCAAATAAATATTTTTTTAAAAAATGGTCCAGTTGAAAAAGAAAAGGGAGATGGATCTTTAATACATGTCACTCGCTGAACCTTGGTTTAATCAGTTCTGAAGCCATCTTTAGATGTTTGCAATCCTGCATCCTCAGGATGCTCAGATAGAAAAATGGGCAATAGACTGCACAGCTTCTTTAGAAGGGAATGGCCTCTTGCCATGGCCAGTCTTTATGGGAAAGATAAATGTTAGCTTATTGTAGAGAAGGACTGCTTGTCTTGCATTCGTCTTTTTCTAGAGCCTCTTTCTAGTGCCCAGTGATCAAAAAGAATTGGGATCGGTATTTACTCAGAGCATCCAGAGGCAAAGTAGCTGGAAATGGCTTTTAAATAATAGTCAAGGTCATAATAAGGAAGGAGAGAAAGAGGGACTGAACATCAGACCTTCAAAATGGACCATGACCATCAACAGCAAAGAGTGATGGAAACTTGGGGATTGGAGCTGGGTTGCAATGCAGTGAGTGCACTGAGTGGGCCTTGGAAATGGGTCAGAACTGTGTAACTCTGGGTATTCCGGATCCAGGTTGATGGATCAGGGAGACAGGCTCTTGCAGGGCTGAAGGCCAGTGGCTGTTTACTACCAAGAATGTTCCCTCTTTACATCTTACAACATTGACAAGTTGCAATGACAAGATAAAGCCAACCCAATATTACCCATGAACCTTTGCAGGTTTCACTTTACTACAGAACCAATAGAGGAAGACAATCTGGTACCTTCTCAGTTTTCACCAGCTATGTGTCCTAGTTGCCTTTGAAAAAAAACAAATTTTGTCTGATAGCTACGGTGACATTTTGTCTTTGGGAGTTTATTTTCTGTTCTGAAGGACAAATATATCCTCAAACATATTTCAGCCAATGCTTCCAATTTCCTATATTTTGTGAACATTACAATAGCTATATAATATCTAGTCATGGATATGGATATAGCAGTCTGAAATTTAGGGTAATAAAGTAGGACATCTCAAAATCAGGCATCTTCTGAATTAATAACCTATTTTTGGTGATTTTTTTAGGGTGACCTCTCTAAGCTAATATACTTTTTATATTAAAGCAGAGGCTTTGGGGAAAGCTGAACATTCACATTTTGTACAGACTAGGACAGCCTTTGGCCTTAGAGTTACTCTTGTCCCAGGGTAAACATAAGAGACCCCATGAGAACAATGAATCAGAAATTTATGGGGAGTTTAAGGGTACTATGTGGGGATGTAGCTAGGTGTGTCTTGTAACTCAGTAAGACCAGGAAATGTGAGAGGAGGGTGCCTATGTGCTAAGTCACTTCAGTTATGTCCGACTCTTCGCAATCCTATGGACTGTAGCCCACCAGGCTCCTCTATCCATGGGATTCTCCAGGCAGGAAAACTGGAGTGGGTTGCCATGCCCTCCTCCAGGGGATCTTCCTGACTCAGGGATCAAACCCATGTATCTTTATGTCTCCTGCATTGGCAGGCAGGTTCTTTACCACTAGTGCCATCTGTGAAACCAAGAGGAGGGTAAAGAGAGCTAGATTAATACCATTTGGAGGGGGTGGAGCAGCTCCTAGTGCTGAAGGAAAAGTGAAAGTGAAAATGTTAGTTGCTCAGTCATGTCCAACTCTTTGAGACCCCATGGACTGTAACCCTCCAGGCTCCTCTGTCCATGGGATTCTCCAGGCAAGAATACTGGAGTGGGTAGCCATTCCTTTCTCCAGGGAATCTTTCCATCCAGAGATGAACCTGGGTCTCCTGTGTTGAAGGCAGATTCTTAACCATCTGAGCTACCAGGGAATCCTAATATCCAAGCTCTCCAGTCAGCAGTGTCCATCCCAGTATTCAGCCTTCCCAAGAAATGGGTAGAGGACAGCTTCTGCAATTTTAGACATGGCAATAAACCAAAAAGTCAAGTAGGTTGTTGCTTTCTAAGAGTTCCACAAGCAGATAGCCAGCACTTTGCTCAAAATGGGGCCCAAAGAGTAGGATTTTTTGCCCTCAACAAGGATTGTGGGTTTTGTTTTGTTTTGGCTGCTCTGGGTCTTGCTGCATGTGGGCTTTCTCTAGTTGAGGCAAGTAGGGGCTATTCTCTAGCTGGAATGCTCAAGCTTCTCACTGGGGTAGCTTCTCTTGTTGCAGAGCCTGGACTCTTGGCTCGAGCGCTTCAGTAATTGCATTTCATGGGTCTCTAAAGCTCGGGCTCAGTAATTGTAGCGCATGGGCTTAGTTGCCTTGAAGCATTTGGGATTTTCCAGGACCAGAGATGTCTCCTGCATTGACAGCTGGATTCTTAACTACTGGACCACCAGGGAAATCCCAAGGATTGTGTTTCAATTAATCTCAGAGTCCCCAGGGAATATTTGTGACTGGACCAGTGGATGAATGGCAGGTGAAATGGTGCCCAGCAGTCCATGTCCTCGGTTGGGAATGAGATCCTAGGCGTAGTACTGGAATGGAAGCTGGTTCCAGGGGACAAAGAGTGTCTGTAGTGTCTAAATAATGGGTCACTCCATGAGGACTCTTGCTCAAAAATAGAACTGGAGCCCAGATATACAACAGGTGCATCACATCTGAGTCAGTTGTATAGCAAAGGACTTGATGCCAAGACCCAGACTAGAGCTCCCAGCAGGCTCCTAACGACTGACTGCAGGGGGGCCTCCAGAGGCAGCAGCAAGAGGGAAGGATCTTGGAGACTGACTGGAGGAGGAAGCATTCCCTGGGCTGAGGAGTAAGTGTTTGGTCTGTGCTGGGATGTATCTGCCTTTTTTACTTTTTTTTTTTTTTGTCCTCTCTATTTCTCTCTACTCAATCAAAATTTCTCATCACTAAGACCACTCTTAGATTTCATCTGGGTTTTAAAAATCCCCAAAGACCCATGGGCTTAAGTCTTTCAGAGTCTATATGTAAGGTTGGTATCAGAAACACATCAGCACAGCCATGCCGATTGTTCACCTTCTGAAATGTTCTCTACTGGTTGGTAAACAGCTGCTGTGCTGAGACCCATGAGTGTTCCTGCCAATATTCTGCACCCCACTAGCCTTTGGACCTCCCATGATCCAGCAACTAAAGGGATAATTCTTGGTATAGCAGGAATTGGATCTGTCCTGAGCTCGAGAGGAGAGTGAAAAAGTTGGCTTAAAGCTCAACATTCAGAAAACTAAGATCATGGCATATGCTCCCATCACTTCATGGCAAATAGTTGGGGAAACAGTGGAAACAGTAGCTGACTTTATTTTTCTGGGCTCCAAAATCACTGCAGATGGTGATTGTAGCCATCAAATTAAAAGACGCTTACTCCTTGGAAGGAAAGTTATGACCAACCTAGACAGCATATTAAAAAGCAGAGACATTACTTTGCCAACAAAGGTCCATCTAGTCAAGCTATGGTTTTTCCAGTGGTCATGTATGGATGTGAGAGTTGGACTATAAAGAGAGCTTAACGCCGAAGAATTGATGCTTTTAAACTATGGTATTGGAGAAGACTCCTGAGAGTCCCTTGGACTGCAAGGAGCTCCAGTCAGTCCATCTTGAAGGAAATCAGTCCTGGGTGTTCATTGAAGGACTGATGTTGAAGCTGAAACTCCAATATTTTGGCCACCTGATGCAAAGAGCTGACTCTTTTGAAAAGACCCTGATGCTGGGAAAGATTGAGGGCAGGAGGAGAAGGGGATGACAGAGGATGAGATGGTTGGATGGCATCACCAACTCAATGGACATGGGTTTGGGTAAACATGAGTTTGGGTAAACTCCGGGAGTTGGTAATGGACAGGGAGGCCTGGCTTGCTGCGGTTCATGGGGTCACAAAGAGTAGGACACGACTGAGCGACTGAACTGAACTGAACTGAGCTGGGTGGGGGGGTAGTCCGAGCCATGAAGTTTACCGCAGGCTTTGAATAGCCTCCTTGGATGTATTTACCCTCAAGGTGAAGTTAAGCACAGGATCACCAGAGGATTGAGGGTGTGAGAGCAATTTTTGAGGGCGTTTAGTATATAGAGACCAACCTACACAATCGTTTTTCTTCCTAAACTCTGAATATCCAGACCAGTGCAACAAGGAGCAGGTAGTGGACACAGCATGATCTGAACAACGTCATGTGCTGACCCCCCACCTGCCTTTCTTTCCACAGATCTGCTTGTCACCCAAGAACTCAAAGGAAAACAGATCTGTGTCTTGGGCCAGAGCATGTGTTGGAACAGGAACTAAATTCTGGAAGACTGAGAGTTCCTTGTATGGAGAAACAAACCAATTAGAGGGTGTAAGCTGTGTATTTTTTGCTTTTGTTCTTATTTTCCCTTCCTTTGGTTATAGACTCACTCACCCCTGTGGTTGGCCACATGGGTCTCTCAAGGTCAATCAGATCTTTTCTCAAAAGAATGGGGGTGTTCAAATCAATCCCATTCAGTCCCCCTAGGAGGAACTGTGTCCCTATTCCCAACGTGCTGTCTGTTTGTCCTGTTCTATTTCTGAGTTGCTCAATGAACTCATTGTCTTTCTAAACAAAGCTCCCTTTTTTCCTTTCTTTTGTTTGGGTTGCTTGCATCCTGGGGACCCTGACAAATAGACCCAGGTAGTAAGTTAAAAGACAATCACAGCAAAAAGAGGTGTGTGTACTCTCATTAAAAACCACATAGACAGTTATTTTACATGAATGTAGATGCATAGACCTGGAACCAGCAATAGTTTTCTTAGTTGGACTTGAACTTTGTAGACTATGAAGTAAGTGTTTTTTCTGCATCCAAGGTACTGTCAGCTGAACATTCCTTAAATACAGTTACACTTAGAATTAGTGTGACTTCTATGCTGTGCCACCATTGTCTTTTTGTCACTTTGGCAGAATCTTAGGAAAAGAACAAAAAGGGGATATTATTGAAGGGCTGAACATTGATAGACAGAGCCACAATGAACCAGCCTATGTCTGACATCCTTTCAAGGGAACTCTCGCGATGTAGTAATTCATTTCCTGCAGGAACAATTTACTTTGAGCTTTTCTCTTATCCTCTGAAGAACCTAGGGGTAACAAACACTTTCTGAGCGAACTCTAGGAGCTCAAATCAGGGGAAAAAAAAGCCGTGGGAATGACTGTGGGAGAAATTAGCAGGAATGAATAACTCGAGTTTACAAAACAGTTCGTGGAGAAACCAGCGATTTAGGATGCTGATCATTTATTTTGACAGGTGTAGTTTATCTCTGCTCATTTATAATAATTATACATTGTGGAGGCTCATTATCTCGGCCCCCCTTCTGTCTCAGTGCTGAGAGCAGTTAAAAGTAAGTTTGGCAAGTCTGTGTGGGGGGTGGGGAGTGAGATAATGGGTGTTAATGACCAAATGGGAAATCTGTACTTGAGCCACTCACTGTGAGGGTGGCACATAGGTCATTGAAAGGGTGCAGTCAAGCTTTGCAATAACATCTGTAAACTCTCGATATTTTTTTTTCTCCCAAGATTTCGTTGGGATGAAATACATTCAAAGACACACTTCCCCATTTCTAGTTAACTCCCTCCTCTCCTAAGAACACAGAATCTTTTGGATTTAGAGTTCAGAATGATATTGTTTTTTAGATGGAGGTCAATATAGATGTTTAGGAAAATCCTGGAATGTTTATTATTTGGGCTGGGGAATTCGGAGAGAGACAATGCAATCACATGGACCTTGAAGCCGGAGATATTCCAAGCTCTACTACTTACTAAGTGTGTTAATTACAACTCAGTTTTCCTATCATGCTATTAACAGGGGGAGAATACTAGTACTTACCTGAAAGGTTTGTTTGGGTGATTAAATTAGCTAACATAAGCAAGAGTGCTTAGAACTCTGAATGGAACATATTAGATACTATATATTATTCATTATTGTTGTTTTATTATTTGTAAAAGAAGTAATAAGAGTATCTACCTTACAGACTATGCTGTGAGGACTAAATAATATAATTCATATAGAACTCAATAACAATTAGCTATTCTTAGTTCCATTCTGATTTTATAAGATTAAAATTCTGAGCTCAGAATTGTCTTAGAACTGAAGCTTCACGATACAGACAACGTTTTGCTCAGGTCCATTCAAGAAGCATATTCTGAGTACCCATGTTTGGTCAAATCCTGGGAATGTAAGATGAATTAGACTATGATCCCAACCCTCAGAAAGGGAAGGGAAACAAAGAAGTGAGTATCTTCATAGAGCTAGAACAGATGTTGAGAGATCCTTCACGTCATGTAGAATGGAAGACAAAATATCATGAATTGCCTTTTTTGAAACAGTTTGCTAAAAAAAAAAGCTGTTGAACACTGAGAAGTATTTAAATAACCAGGTCTATTTCTCCATCTTTCACCAGAATCTTCCCATAAATGAGGTCCATGTCCTCCCACATTATACAGATGAAGAGTGCTCTGTTGCCTCTTGGACACATGCTCTGGCTTCGTTTTCAAGTTTGTCCACTCAGGACTGCCATTAGCCTATATGGTGCCTTTGTTCAGATGGGAAAATGGCACTCCTTGTTCTGGGTGCCCCCGTGTAGAACTTTCACGACTGTATGTGAGACCCTAGGCCTCTCTACTCTCTCACTTACTTTGCTGACACCTCAACTCTGGATAGCTCTGCCAATGAAGACATTCTTTGAAATCTATCTGGTGAAGAGCTATGGCTGCTCTTGTTGTTCAGTTGCTAAGTTGTGTCCAACTCTTTGTGACCCCATGGACTTCAGCACACCCAGCTTTCCTGTCCTTCACCATCTACCAGAGTTTGCTCAAACTCATGTCCATTGAGTCAGTGATGCCATCCAACCATCTCATCCCCTGTCACCCTCTTCTCCATTTGCTCTCAGTCTTGCCCAGCATCAGGGTTTTTCCCAATGAGTTGGCTCTTCACATCAGGTGGCCAAAGTATTGGAGTTTCAGCTTCAGTCCTTCCAATGAATATTCAGGGTTGATTTCCTTTAGAATTGACTGGTTTGATCTCCTTGCAGTCCGAAGGACTCTCAAAAGTCTTCTCCAACACCATAGTTCAAAAGCATCAGTTCTTCGACACTCAGCCTTCTTTATGGCCCAAATCTCACATTCATACATGACTACTGGAAAAACTGTAGTTTTGACTATATGGACCTTTGTTGGCAAAGTGATGTCTCTGCTTTTTAATACACTGTCTAGGTTTGCCTTCCAAGGAGCAAGCTCTAGGGAATGCTTTCAAAAAACACAAATTTGAAATTTTTTTTTCTTTGGAAAGAGAGGGAGCAAGAAGTGAGTTATTTGGGAAAAGTTTTGCAAGGAGACTTGATTTTAGGACAGTTGACTGTAACTTCTATATCCTCTGGCCTCATCCACCCATGATTATAGAATGGAGTCACTTCATACTTATGTTCAAGTTGCAGTGCCTAGGAAGCTCTCCACTCCTATCCTCCCATGCAAGAATGTAGGATATTTGAGGGGGGGGGGAGGATTCTTAAAAGGATGACCTTCTTCTGCTCTAGCTCCCATCATTCATCTTGATCACTCTGGAATCTGCTTAAAGGATGCCTGGGGAAGTCACTGTTCTGCATGCTCATCAAGATGCTTCCTTAGTCTACGAAGGGCAGAGTTTCCCAGTCCTTCCCAAACTGCCAGGACTTGGGGTGTGGACTTCTGTGCAGATGTGAGGAGAGACATCTCATGGTGTAACTCATCATAGGCCCCTGGAAATATATGCACACTTGATAGACTGTTAAAATTGGTCCCCACAACTGACTACCCACTAGGTCAATCCCTAAGAAGAGTCTGTAATGAAAATTGGGAACTTATCTTCCCTTACAAGATCCTGATCCCATTTTGCCTCCCATCCCTTGTTACCTCAGTCACCACAATATTCCCAAACCTCTCAATTTTTTATTTTTGTTTCACTTGGCCTCCTGGGAGCATTGGACACAGTAGATCGTTCCCTCTTTCTCAAAACCTTCTTTCTCTTGGCTTTTGAGTCACCCTACTCCTCCTGTTTTCCTCTTACCCTGCTGGCTGCTCCTTCTCCACCTCCTTTGCTGGCCTTCCCTCTTCTTTCTGACTCTACCTGTGTTAGAAATTCCCAGTATATAGTTCTGTTTACTCTCATATCCTTTGTGAACTCACCTAGTGCTGTGGAGTTAACTATCACCTGTATTCTTAAGACCTTTTTTCTCTCCCTTCTTCCCTAAGCTCCAGCACTCTATATCCAGTCATGTATGTTGAATTCACCTAAAGAGAAGAATATCCAAATTGCAAAAACAAGGTCTCTTGATTCAATCTCCCAATCCTCTTCTCCTCCAGCAGTTAGTGGCACTATCATGCATCCAGTTTCTCAGGCTCCAAACTCTAGGATTTCTCCTGAATTCTTTTTTCCCTTGGGTCCAGATCCAACCCAACAGAAATTCCAAAAGAGATCATGTTTAACCACCTCCTGTGACCATTCTAATCCAGGATGCTATAATCCCTGATGGCATAATAAAATGGCTTCCTGATTAATTTCCCCATTCCACTCTTGCCACTTACATTCAGTTCTCCACATAACAGCAGGAATTATCTTTTAAGATAATAGATCACTTCATGGTGCTCTTTCGCTGAAAACCTACTAATGATTCCCCATGGTCTCAGAACAAAATCTCAAACTTCTTAAAATAGCCTCCAGGGCTTTATAGTCAGCCCCTGGATATCTCTTTAAACCCATCTTCTACTATCTGGTGCCTGGAATATTTCTTCATGTTTTTGCATAGTTTGTTCCTTCCCTTCATCTATACCTTTATTCAAATATTATATCTTCAAAAAAAGACTTCCTTGTCCACTCTGTTTGAAACAGCACTTCCTATTAGTATTATTCCTTTTAACTTATTCATTTTTCTTTATAGCATTTATTCCACAACTTTTTTATATATCTGTGTTTAAAATTTTGATATAGTTGATAATATTAACAGAATAATTAAGAAAAACAATATAAATATTTCAGTAGATGTAAAAACACACTTGACAATGTCAGTACCGAGTCATAATAAAATACCTCTGCAAACTAGGAATAGAAGGGAACTTCCTTAATCTGTCAAAAGATATTTACTAAAAAATTTACAAACCGGAAAGAAAGAAGTAAAACTGTCTCTATTTGCAGATATGATGATTATTTACATAGAAAAGTCTACTGCTACTGCTAAGTCACTTCAGTCATGTCCGACTCTGTGCGAACCCATAGACGGCAGCCCATCAGAATCCTTGGGATTCTCCAGGCAAGAACACTGGAGTGGGTTGCCATTTCCTTCTCCAATGCATGAAGGTGAAAAATGAAAGTGAAGTCACTCGGTCGTGTCCGACTCTTAGCGACCCCATGGACTGCAGCCTACCAGGCTCCTCCATCCATGGGATTTTCCAGGCAAGAGTACTGGAGTTGGGTGCCATTGCCTTCTCTGAGAAAAGTCTAAGGAATCTATAAAACAACTACAAGAAATAGTAAGTGAATTTAGCAAGGTCACACGGTTCATAGTTGTTATAAACCTATAAACTGTGTTGTACATGTTGGTAGGAAAAAATTGAAAAGTGATTTTTTTTAAATCCTATTTACAGTCAAATTGAAAACATGAAATACTTGTAACTAAATATACCAAAGGCCAAGATCTGTACACTAAAAATTATTAAACATTGTTGAGAGAAGTGAAATAAATAAGTAAATTGAAACATATGTTCAAGGATTGGAAAGCTAAAATGGTTTTATTTTTGTTTATGTTTATTGTCTGCATCTTCCACCAGAATGTAAGCTCTTTGAGAGCAGGAACTTTTTCCTGTTTCATTCCCTGATGTTTCTTTCATGTCTATTAATAGCATATGGCACACAGTAGTTTCTCATTAAATATTTGCTGAATAAATGCCTATATAAGGCACCAGGCACCAAGAAAGTTTTGACTTTGCTCAGAGTCTCGTAAAATTTCTCAATAAAACAATCCTGTGTTATTCTTTCAGTGACAGGGACCAAATCTGACTCTAGCAGCCTGCCAGATGGGGCATATTTTCTTCAGAGTCTTTGTCTTCTCCTCAATCCCCAGTCCCCAACCAAAACTCTAGTCTCTGCTATTAGTCTCGGAACATATGCTCCCTGAGTAAATGGAGTACAGAGATTCTTTGTAGGCCAAAATAACTTACTAGAGCAGGAACTGTCTTCCAAAAGTAGAGAGGAATGGATTCAGGCCTTGCAGATGCATTGGGTAGTACTGAGTATTTACCTTAAAACAACATGGAGCCAGAAATACGGCACCCAAAGAGAAAGTGAATTCTTTAATGGCTCCCAAGGGGATGGTGTAGATTAGAGTTGAGAGACAAGACCAAAGAAAAAGTCAGAAGCCAGATGGACTCCTTAGGGAAGGAGAACATAGGACAATTGTTAAGATCATGCTTGCCCCTTTTCTGAAGAGCAGAGGATGGCATATTGATAAACGATTAGACATCTTAACCGATTTAAAAGACAGATGGTAAAGCATCTGTCTGCAGTGGAGGAGACCTGGGTTCAATCCCTGAGTTGGGAAGATACCCTGGAGAAGGAAATGACAACCCACTCCAATATTCTTGCCTGGAGAATTCCATGGACAGAGGAGCCTGGTGGACTACAGTCCATGAGGTCACAAAGAATCGGACACAACTGAGTGACTAACACATACACACAGGTTTAAAACCCAGTAGTATGCATGGAGAAATCTCTTGCTTTCCCTGAGGCTTACTTTCTTTCTCTATAAAATAGAAATTTTAAAACCTGCCATACTAGTAAAGCAATGCTCAAATCCTCCAAGCCAGGCTTCAGCAATACGTGAACCATGAACTTCCAGATGTTCAGGCTGGTTTTAGAAAAGGCAGAGGAACCAGAGATAAATTGCTAACATCCACTGGATCAACAAAAAAGCAAGAGAGTTCCAGAAAAACATCTACTTCTGCTTTATTGACTATGCCAAAGCCTTTGACTGAGTGGATCACAATAAACTGGAAAATTCTGAAAGAAATGGGAATGTCAGACCACCTGACCTGCCTCTTGAGAAACCTGTATGCAGGTCAGGAAGCAACAGCTAGAACTGGTCATGGAACAACAGACTGGTTCCAAATAGGGAAAGGAGTATGTCAAGGCTGTATGTTGTCATCCTGCTTATTTAACTTATATGCAGAGTACATTATGAGAAACGCTGGGCTGGAAGAAGCACAAGTTGGAATCAAGATTGCTGGGAGAAATATCAATAACCTCAGATATGCAGATGACACCACTCTTATGGCAGAAAGCAAAGAAGGACTAAAAAGCCTCTTGATGAAAGTGAAAGAGGAGAGTGAAAAAGTTGGCTTAAAGCTCAACATTCAGAAAACTAAGATCATGGCATCCGGTCCATCACTTCATGGCAAATATATGGGGAAACAGTGGAAACAGTGACTGACTTTATTTTGGGGGGCTCCAAAATCACTGTAGATGGTGACTGCAGCCATGAAATTAAAAGGTGCTTACTCCTTGGAAGGAAAGTTATGACCAACCTAGACAGCATATTAAAAAGCAGAGACATTACTTTGCCAACAAAGGTCCATCTAGTCAAGGCTATGGTTTTTCCAGTAGTCATGTATGGATGTGAGAGTTGGACTATAAAGAGAGCTTAACACAGAAGAATTGATGCTTTTAAACTATGGTGTTGGAGAAGACTCCTGAGAGTCCTTTGGACTACAAGGAGATCCAACCAGTCCATCCTAAAGGAGATCAGTCCTGGGTGTTCTTTGAAAGGAATGATGTTGAAGCTGAAACTCTAGTACTTTGGCCACCTGATGCGAAGAGCTGACTCTTTTGAAAAGACCCTGATGCTGGGAAAGATTGAGGGCAAGAGGAGAAGGGGATGACAGAGGATGAGATGGTTGGATGGCATCACTGACTCAATGGACATGGGTTTGAGTGGACTCTGGGAGTTGGTGATGGACAGGGAGGCCTGGCATGCTGGGGTTCATGGGGTCACAAAGAGTCGGACATGACTGAGCGACTGAACTGAAATGAACTGAACTGAACTGATGCCTACCTTATGGGATCACTATGGTGATCAAACGAGATAAGGTAAGTGCCATGGGGAGAATATTATTACTTATTAGTCAAGACTTATCACTATTAAAGTTCTGAAGGATAAGTTCAAGCATGTTCAACCATGTTTAAGTCTTCATGGTTCATTATTTAATTTGAAGTGAATTCCCACAATATAAGCTCTCTCCATATTCAAATATAAATATGAAATCCATTTTGCTGTCAAATATATGATGATATGGAAGGCAATTCATGCCTTTGGTTACCTTCAATGGTGTGCAGAATTGCTAGTGACTATGTCATGTTCTCCTTTAGTTGAAAACATCTCTTCCACACTTGGTCTTGTTTTTCAGCTACATAATCCCTTTCAGAGGCTTTTTAAAATAAATTATCCAGCAAAAAATGCATCTAGCAAATACAGGATTCCAACAAAGAAGAATCTAATACCTGGAATAAAGACAGAATTAATTCAAAATAATTACATAAAATCTCCCATTTAAAATCTTCAGCATCAGGTTTACATTTAGCCACAATATTAAGTAGTTGGACCATGTTCAACTTGTTTTTGTAGTGAAATCTCCTTGGTAAATTCAATTTTTTAAAGAGATCTTCCTTGTTCACATGATACAAAGCACAAATATATTCAAAACGGATAACCAACAAGGACTTGCTATATAGCACAGGGAACTCTGCTTAATGTTATGTGGCCTCCTGGATGGGAGGGGAGTTTGGGGGAGAATGTGTGCATGCAAAGTTGCTCCAGTGGAGTCCAACTCTTTGCAGCCCGATAGACTGTAGCCCACCAGGCTCCTTTGTCTATGGGCTGCTCCAGGCAAGAATACTGGAGTTGACTTGCCTTCCACCAGTGGATCTTCCCGAACTTGTGATAGAACCTATGTCTCTTACATCTCCTGCATTGTCAGGCAGTTTCTTAAGCACTAGCACCACTTGTTTCCCGCCCAAGGGGGAGACAAATGTGAAAGTGAAAGTGTTAGCTGCTCAGCTGTGTCCGACCCTTTGCAGCCCTGTGGACTGTAGTCTGCCAGGCTCCTCTGTCCATGGGAGAATGGATGCATGAATATGTATGACTGAGTCCCTTTGCTGTCCACCTGAAACTATCATAACACTGTTAATCGGCTATACATTAATATCAAATAAAAAGTTAAAACAAGCAAAAGAAAAAAGCAGAAAATAACTAGAGGGCACTATTAAAATTAACTGTACATTGTGCAGAATTAGAATGTTTAGTAGTGTTGAGTGCTTTGCCGTTTGTTACATGGAAGAGCAATAAGTAGTTCAAGCCAATGACAAGAAACGGTACATCAGTTCAGAGCTTCTCAAACAGGCATGTAAATTTCTTAGGATATCTTTATCTTCTGCCTTGAACATTGCCTGTTGTCATTATTTTTTCTTAGTGAATTTATCTGACTTTAGGTCAGTCTGTGCCTTTGCCTATAATTAAAAAAGACAGTTTACCAATATGATTTCCCAGGAACTGGTAAATTCTAAACCATTATTTCTGTGGAGCTGCTAGGTAGAAAAGTGAGACTAAGACAGATGACTGAAGGAAGAACATATTTCTGACTTGTCTAGATTCTAAATGATACTGAAACATGAGCCATATGGCTGAGGCCTCAAAGCTAGGAAGTGGTCAAACTGGGATTTTTAGCTCAAGTCTGACTCTAAACATTGTTCTTTTCTGCAGCAACAGTACTGTCTCTTGTGGGGGAAAAAAAAAATCACATAATGCTTATAAAGGATTCAGATGGAAAGGAGTGACAACCAGAAATGTTAACAAAAAAAAAAAAAAAGCCATTTCATACAATAGTTTGAAATATTCTGTCTCCATTTGATACACGGATTTGTATGGTCTTCGTGACCTATCGCGTCAGTGATAAAAATAACCATTGGCCCAATTGCTTAGAGCTTGAAATATATCAGAGAAAGGCAATCAATCAGTCAAATATTTCTCAGGTGTCTTCTATTTGCTCAACACTATACTCGACTCTGTGGGACATGGCAGCTCACACATCAAAGTTCTTTGGCAAGCAAGAAGTGAATGTGAAATAGTATTATTAGAGAAAAACTACATGTGGTGGCCCAGCTTCAAAGAACTTAAAATCTTCATGTAGAAGAAGATGTTTGCATGTAACAATACATCTTCATCATCATAAACAGCACAGAAAATGTATTCAGTTGGTGATTAGAACAGGGATGGGTCAACTTTTTTCTGCAAAGTGTGAGAGAGAAAATATTTTAAGGC